CAATTGTTCCCATCCCCCTTGTTGCTGGTTGTTTCCAGAAAATTTACGGGATTTTACATGCCGCTTATCACATTTGAGTTTATTGCTTCATCCAAGTAGCATTTGAAATGTGACACGCTTTTATTGTGACAATTTCAAGGCTTTAGTTCGTATTCGGCGCTCAATTGGTAATGTGCAAATTAAATAAGATTTCTTCTGAAAAAAATCCATGATTTAAATTTTAAAACCATTTCCGACTGATTTAAATCCATCTTAAAATGTAAATATTTGTTTATTCAGCTTCTGTTCTCAGCTCAAATAATGAATGTTTTTCTTCTCCTCTAATGCTATTAAAGCGAAGCATTTATTCATTCGTTTTGTTAATTCGACGAAAGAAAAGTGGTATTTTATGTTACAGCTTCATTAATATGCATTGATTCCAATTCATTGAACGAGTTTGATCACATAACTCATTAATTCTGCTGCAAAAAAAAAAAACAATTGAAACAACGAATCACCGCAAAAAAATCCATTCAAATCAAATATAACGTCCAAAAATTTAATTTATTCCTCTTGTTGCCATGAAAGTTTTAAATTACTAGTTTTAATTTGATGTCGTCTGGTGCCAAGTCTGGTGCATGAGCTGCAAGGTAAAATGGTAAAGTGGAATTTCATCGAATTTTTTCAAGAACAGAAAATTCCATGCTCTTTGAGAAAGGTTTTAAATCAGACGAGTCGCTTTTCTATGGAATAACCATTCAATTCAGCGCACAGCTTTTCAGATCTAAGAATAGAAAGTCGTCCATTTCAGATCTAAGAATAGAATGTCGACAACAGCGTTTATTCCAATTGAAAGTGGAGCATTCGTTTCTCAGTAATTCATGACACACAACAAGAAAAGGGCATCCATTTCGAATAATTATACTGAAAAAATAATAAAAACCAGCAACAAAGCTCTTATCTTCGTTTATTTCTTAATGCCGTCTAGTCCCAAAGCTCAAGCCATTGCTTACGCAATTCTAATTATCATTGCCATTAACCAAATTCAAGAAACAATATTTACCTCTTTGTATTGTTTTCTCGGTCAAAGAGAACATAAGCTCTTTGCCGTTGCCAAAGGAAGACACGATGACAAGGTGACCGTATTTTGTCCTACATCTTTTTGTCAAGGGAACTGAGATATTAACCAAGAAATTGAAAAGTCGGATTAAACCAACACAAACACAAGAAAATCAAATGCAGTTGTGAAAGAAAGTCAACATCAACTCCAGTTGGTCATCAAGAAATAGTTTTCTGATTTCTGCGAAATCACTATGTGCCTTGGTTCCACTTGGTTGCTCGGTTACACTCGATGAAAATGACTCGAAGACTATTTGCAAATATGTATATTTCATTTCAACTGTAGAATTGGGTTCAAATTTTATACTGCGTTCGGATTTTAGTTGCAATTTAATTGGAGTGCATGAGATTCTAGTTATTTTGTTAATAAAAGGAGATTTGATTGTTCCGTGAATACATAAAAGTAGGAATTCATCAAAGAATATTCCTTCGCATGCGATGCAATTCACCACATTTCATATTTCACCTATAGGATTGATATAGATATCAACGCAGCCTCTACTATTTAATTCCATTTCAAATGCATCAGATTGCAGATGGTCTTATAAAGGAAATTGCACATCCTCTCGAACTAATTGATTTGGCCGATTCACACACAGAACATTGAAATGCAGCAACATTGATTGAAAGCTTCAATTTGAAGCATTGAAATGGCTTATTTAAACTATTCGGATTTGTTACAATATAATGAAAAATTACTGTGATGTCTAATCAAATCAATATGCCCATTTTCATTCAGCATGTGTTGAATATTTCTCTGAAAATAATTATACCGCATACAAAGGATGTTGAGAACCAGGAGCATAGCAAATTTATTTTTCGGAACGCCCAACATTCGAAATAGTTCAAATAATTATTTGATAATGATTGATGCTAACATATAGATCGAAGGTAGCTGAGTAAATTTGCACAAAGGGAACATTTCTCAAAGAAACATTCAATTGCAAGTATTACGAGTTTCCTTGAGAGATCGATTGATTTTCTTGGTATATCATTTTGCATTGACTTAAATCTGTTACTTTGATTCCGAATGTTGATTGCCATTCTCCGAGTCTCTAATGCCATTTGCATTTAGTGATTCTGTGAAATTATGGCCACTATATAACATGCGACAAATTGAGATGACATCATTCCATTTTCGAGCAGGCATCATACATTAAGACAGCGTTTTTATGTTCAACACAAACATTTCTCTTGGTGATTCTCTTTCGGCAATTAAATAATAACCCGCATAAAAAGCTCAAGCGATAAAATTTGAATTTTGTGAATTTTCCATTATAGTATTTGCATGATTTATGATGACTCATGCCAAAAAATCGAGTTTGATGAAGTTTACGGCTGCTTAAATTACAATGAACACGTTTAACAGCCGGCCAAAATTTCCATCGAATTGTTGCCAATGCGACATTTGTCGTCGTTTCTCGTTCAATTGGAGAAATGTCGAAATGATTGCATCTTCTGCGCTCTCCTGAGCAGGCAACATTCGTCCAACTTTATGATTTATCGTAAAAGTAAGGCATTCATCAGCATTTGTATATCAATTTGCAAGCCATTAAAACTGTTAGTGAAATGAGATTCAATTTAATAAATGGCATTTTCAAGGGATACACACACACATACTCCTTTCCATCGAATAAAACCTTGATTGCTGTCGTCATTGTTATTGTGGAATGAATCGGTCGCTGTTTTGGAAAAGTCCAAAACGCATTAGAAAATGACCAATAAAACTAATTGACAATGAACATTTTGCTCATACATTCTTTATAGAGCGCCAGTTGATGGTTCCACAAATTTTTTTCCATTTTCTGCTGTGGAATCGCATCAATTTGGTAGTTTCCTATAGTAAAATCCACTTGTTTGATGGTATACCATACCATGAAGAAACCATTGTAATTTCCTGTGAATTGGCTTCGAAAGCAATTTTATTGATAGCAATATTTGGAAAATACAATCACACAATAATCGGAAAAACAAATAAGCTTCACTCGACTGAACAAATAGCCGGATTTCAACGAGAGATTGTGGCATTTTTTTGACTCTATTTAAGAAATATGCACAGCAATCATATTAATAAATATTGCATGTGATTTCAATGAAGGAGAAAAGCGACAAGCATTCATAGAAAATGTATACAACACATGAATAGGCTTCGGATAAGAAGGTACTTTTCATTCAATGGTACAAATCAAACGACAAAATTGATTGTTTTCAAGTTCAATGGACCAAAGTGATGATTATCATCGAAATAAGTTGTTTGGTGTGTGATGGTAACAAAAATTCATCATCTAGCCGATACTTTTGTGGAAGAGGAGCATCCGGATGCTTTTCAATTGAAAGTGGTTCGTATTCTGACGTCATAAAAACGCTATTCTTAATAAATCGTTTAATTACGAAATATATAATAAATTGACTCTTATCAATTATAATTATCAGGTGATTACATTAAAAACGGTTGTTATTATAAATCTATGTGTCTCGGAAACTCCGACGGCTTTATTCTTTATATCATATTTGCTATTTGCATTATTAATTTCATGATTTGGAGATATTGTAAATCTAAAAAACCGGTCATCGATGTAGTAAGTAACCAGGTGCTATGGTTTGCGCAAAGAAATCAGCATCTTGCACCAGCAAATCAGCGTATCGTAAACATAGGTATACCTCAAACTGATGACGCAGCACCACCGTACTCCAGCTTAAATCATCATGCAACTAACATTCAAAATTAACTGATGAATCCAGCGTTTTAAATGGAAGTGACGCAAATAAAAAACATGTATTAACTTATAGATAATGTAATAAATGTATATATATGTATAACTATAACATTGATTAGCACATACCCGACCAATATTTTTCCTTTCAATGCAAGTCTTCTCAATAAAAAAAACTACGCTACAAATATACAGCGTGTATTCCCTGCGCACGCTG